GACCAAAAAGCTCATCTTTGGGGGAGGGGGAGGATGGGGGGACAGGACCAAACAATAGGTCACTATCTCATGGGAAGGGAGCATCCTGCGTTACTGCTGCATTCAGGACCGCAACCCTGTATCGTTGTGTTGGTTGATCTTGTACACCCCCTGCGACCTATCAATTGTGCTGCGTGGGCATGGGGGGGAAAGATGAATAGAATTGATGCCAGAAAGGCAGGAAAGAGGAATTGCTCAGGTTGGCAACTCACGGCCTGTGGGTTGCACGTGACTCTTGAAGCTTTCTCCTCGTGGCTCTGACATCCCTTCCCGTCTCGCCACCTCCGGTGGCCGATGCTTGATGGATCCTCCGGAAGGGTGGAAGGCGATTCAGTTATGAAGGATGCCCCTTTCTAAATAAAGAGGAGGGGGCTGACCTCATCCCTGCTGCGGCTGGAAGAAAAGAGTGGTGGGAAGGCCGGATGTTTTGGTGGGAGAGAAGCTATGGGTTGATTAGCTAATGAATATTGCATCGAGGTGAGCGCACTGGGAAGGAGCTGATGAAAAACATGGCGGTTGAACGGGGCGAAGCCCACGCACGAGAGCCCATCCCTGTTGACTCCAAGGCACCCGATTCACCACACCCAACTGGGTCTGCAATTTGGTGGGGGAGTTGCATGAGTAAAGGTGACGCTTTGCACGGCCCTACAATTGCATAGATGTAATTGATGGAAATATAGGGGTGCATGGAGGCATATCCTGCCCTATGGTAGACTTTGAACTGCATTTCTCCCTTACCGATACCCCCACCCACACCCCCCACAGTCTTCTCCAATCCAACAAAGCCCTTGGTGTTTTTTTTTTTTTTTAATTAAATAGCATCCACTCCACATCTAGAGAAATGCATTCTTGCACGGCATTTGGAATAATTTCACATCAGGGCCAGAACCATGGCCCGTGACTTGCTTCCCACTCCCTTTGCCCTGATGTCCGTGTAATGAATCCTTTCCGTTATGCCTCCCTTCCCCATTAATCTGCATTTTTTAAAAAGCCCATACAAAAATGAATATATCAAAATATATTTTATTTCCCCCCCTCAAAATACAAAATTCAATAAGCACCTTTCTAAAAATGCACGCTTCACTTAAAAAAAAAATTAAAGATGAAAACATCATTGGGACATTTAGGACAAGGAAAAGCTAGCAGATAACTGAATGCCAGCTTGCCTCTCCATTCACATGGTGGAGTTCTGCTTAGTTTATGTTACTATTTGCAAACACGGTCTTCTTAAAGAACCCCGTTTCTCCAGAGAATGGAACTGCCATTGGGTTATGATAAAATTTCAGTGTAACAAATAACACAACCAGAGCCATAGGGCTTCCCCACCAATAATGCTGCTAGACTTAAATATGTTTATGTTGGATTGACTTCCAAGTCAAGGTTGTTAAACTGAATTACAGATCTGAACTTTCCGTTTGCTTCTTTGTCCACGGGTGTGTACAGCTTGAAGCAAACAGTGTATGTTTTCTTCGCTGTTAAGAGTCATTTTATTCCGGAGACGAATGGTTCCTCTGCTTGAAGATGGAGCGTGCACATTGCTGGAGAAATGGCTATAACCCAACAAGCAGGACCAGCTGAGAATATTTAACTGCCTGAAACAAAGGATCACATCCTTAACTGCGCCTTCGGTGGTTGCAGAGCAGATCATAGGAATGGTAAAATTTAAAAAAAAGCCTTTTCAAGAGTCTGAGGCCCAGGGCACAACATTAACCTGCCCTTCACACATGCTTTCTTCTCACAGTGTTGTTGTTTCTCCACTGAAGTCTCGCTCAATAATTGTAAGTGTAGGAGTGGTGACGGGAAGCCTGAAATCCTGAAATGAGTCTTGCTGTTCTAGTCTACCCAATTCATTTTGTGGCGCTGAATGGAAAATATCGATCCATCGGGGCACCTGCCCCTCCTTTAAAAAGGCCCTCAGCATCTGAAGCCATGTTTCTCAGCCTTGGCCACTTGAAGAGGTGTGGACTTCAACTCCCAG